CTCTCTCTCTCTCTCTCTCTCTCTCTCTCTCTCTCTCTCTCTCTCTCTCTCTCTCTCTCTCGCGTTTGCACTCTCTCTCTCTCTCTCTCTTTCTGTCTGTCTGTCTCTCTCTCGTTCTCTCTCTTTCTCTATCTCTCGCTCGCTTTTGCTCTCTCTCTCTCTTTTTCTCTCTCTCTCTCTTGAGCCTTTCATTCACAGGTAGCAGACTTTGAGAACAGGTTTTTCACCACAGGTTATAAATAGCGACCCGTTAGTATACTTGCATATCTATCTGCCGTTGTGCAAACTATATAAACTTCCGAACGTCTGAACTGACTTCTGAAAAGCATCTGCAAACGTCGAGAAATATCTGAGCATATCTCAGCCGTCCATTAGTCTTAAACGTCGAACATTTCACACGGTGTACGTGCACACATGTCAACTCTGATCAACTCTGGTTTTAACTGGGAGCCAGTTAAGAACACGCCGCACAGTTTGTGGATATGCGAGCCCTATCGATTTTCGGGCTCAATAATTTCTCCCCACCGCCGGAATTTTACCGCTATGATTTTCTCTTCGAACACATTTTACGACCTAACGCGCACTTAAGTTCAAAGTGGGGGCTTTCGTAGCGGACGGCTAACACATGTAATAGAACACTTTGTGTCTTCATTGTTTCGTAGAGAAAACTTCGGCGTTTCGGCAAAGAAATCGCGTTAATCGTTCGACAAACTGTTGCTAATTGACTCCGGGGAGGGGGGGGGGTTCGAAGCTGCGCACAACTTTCTCTTCTTCTTCCGCTATTTATCGAAAGCTTGACAGATATATGATGATAGATAATAATAGCTCGATAGATATATACGGCTCTCGTCTTACATAACTATCGCACGCACGCACACACGCACGCACGCACGTGCGCACACCCGCATGGAAGCACGCGCACACACGGATGCACGCACGCGCACGCACGCACGCGCACGCACGCACGAACACACACATGCACGCACACGCACACGCGCAAAACACGCAAACGCACACGCGCACGCACGCACATATACGCACGCACACACACGCACGCACGTACGCACGCATGCACACACGTGTTACGTGACAAACACACACCAAGAGAAACAGACCCTGACAGACTGGAAGCCTAGGCCTTGGACATTCCACCCGCATACATACACGCTACAGATTTATCGATGCTGTACTACGCAGCCACCACACGCCAAACGCCAAACGCTTTCCCACCGCACAGACACTCAATCCGAGCCAGCTCGAGAGAGAGAGAGAGAGAGGAGGGAGGAGGAGGAGAGAGAGAGAGAGAGAGAGAGAGAGAGAGAGAGAGAGAGAGAGAGAGAGAGAGAGAGAGAGAGAGAGAGAGAGAGAGAGAGAGAGA